ATCAATGGAGCAATGCATGCTAGGAATAACCAAGAGAGATCACAAAAGAACAGAGTGGATTAGGCAGAAAACTCAGGTAATTGTTGTGATCCACAATTAAATCTCTCAAATGGCAATGGGCAGGACATCTGGCAAGAAGGACCAACAACAGATGGTCCACGTGAATTACGGTGTGGTATCCACGGGAATCAAGAGACCCAAAGGACATCCAAACTTAAGATGGAACCATGACATAAGGAAACAAGTAGACACAACATGGTGGAGAGAAGCAAATGATAAGCAAATAGGTATTGCAATTGCTGGATCTCTCATCCAGCAATCCAGCTGGATCCAGCACATTTTTTGGCCTGTTGGATCCAGCACCAGGTGCTGGATCCAACACCAGGTGCTGTGGGGTGCTGGATCCAGTGCTGTGGATCCCCGCAAATACTCAAATTAACTTTCTAAATAATGGCGCAAAAGTCTACGTTGTCGACCTTGCCGCTTTGCTACGTGCGCTATCGCTTGGCAGCGAGAGCAATGTTGCCATTCAGTGCGGCACGTGCTACACTCCCTCTCTACACTGCACCACTAGCCCTTTTACCTCTGCTGATCTAATTGCCAGTTGACTTTCTGCTCTCGCTAAATAAAATAAGTAACTCCTATCCTAGTCCTGGTGCATAATTCTAATTTACGGTTGGTTCTGACGTCAATGAATCATGATTGCAGTTTAAACTGGTCGTAGAAGCTCTCTGCAGACCCTGAAATTTGTCTTAGACAAACTAAAAAGCCAGGACACAATCAACGTCACACTATTGGAACCTGTGACCGGTGCTCTATGCGTATACGTTAAATATCGCTTGACAAACGTTTGAGCGTTCTGTTCGTTCTTCTTCAGGTTAACTGAAAGAATTCCCCAGACGGAGTGTAGATGTGAGGACCAGAAATTTAGTGTTTTAAACTATAATTTTTTTCTTTATAAAGACGGAACGAGAAAACAGAAAATTAAAAGAGAAAAAGGAAAAATAAAATCAATAAAAACCTTGATTCCCACGAGTTAGGTTCCTTGTTGAGATGAGTACATTTCTGTGTCACGATTGTGTCACCCATCCCCTCATTGGACCAAGAAGATCGTCATCGCTGACGAAATCGGAGAAAAGTTCGAAAATGAGGACTTGATATTAAAGGGCCAGGCATGATGAGTAAGGGGGTGGAAGTTATTATTGGTATCTGTGTGTGTGCTCCGATCGTCTACCTCCTGCCGAGAATCCGAACCTCCTCCTCCTCTACAAGACTAAAAGACCTGAACTTAACTGAAATTTTTCTACTCACCTAAAAAGAACTGTTCACCTAAAAGGAACTGTTGGACCTTTTGTGCTGATTTTGGACTTGAGCTCCTACAACCTAAGGTATTTATCCTGCCCGCGCACTATTGTACGTTCTCTCTCTCCGCGTAACGAAACGCGCACCCGGTCGTTAATTTGGACTAAATATTGAATAATAACTCATGTAGTTTATGTATCGTATTTTATTCGCTGATGTAAACTTAATTTAGATTATATATAAATAAACGGGTTTTTATGTTTAAAACTTCTGGAGTGCAGTTTCTTCCGTTTGTCTCTCGGTTCTCCATTCCGGGTCCAACCCTCATACCTATCCGCTCGCGCAAATTTGTGGTCTCTGTATCGACCGAAGGATACAGTGGTGTCATCCTGACGAGGTATCGAAGAGATACCGACCCTATGGTCACATATATTATTCTTCTCTAGGATCGGGTGTCAGTTCTGAGGGGGTGGGTCGCTTCTGGTATGCGCGGCCGTGCGGTGGGGGAGGAAGCGGCGGGTTGGCGTCCAATAGTGATTGCCAGGCCAGAGACAAGGTTAGCTCCTCTTTCCGGTTAATGCAGGTGGTTAGCCGGTCAGCGTTGTGGATAGCCGCAGCTTCTAGCCATCTGAGTTGCTGTTGGTGGGGCATGTTGACAATAATGGTAGCCTTCTTGAAGTGTATTTCGATTTCGGGGTCCGATGCATATGTGGCTAGGGCTGTGGTCAGCCTCCCGTGCCGGATATCTGCTTGGTGTTCACGTAGGCGGGTGTTTAAGGAGCGTTTGGTTGAGCCAATGTATAGTAGTTCCGCGTTTTGTCTATTGCCACAGAGCGGGATAGAGTAGATTCCGGGGAGTCTGGTGCGATCAGGAGGGTCCTTATCGTTCCTTAGGATGCTATCGGAATCTACTCTATCCCGCTCCGTGACAATAGACAAAACGCGGAACTACTATACATTGGCTCAACCAAATGCCCCTTAAACACCCGCCTACGTGAACACCAAGCAGATATCCGGCACGGGAGGCTGACCACAGCCCTAGCCACATATGCATCGGACCCCGAAATCGAAGTACACTTCAAGAAGGCTATCATTATTGTCAACATGCCACACCAACAGCAACTCAGATGACTGGAAGCTGCGGCTATCCACAACGCTGACCGGCTAACCACCTGCATTAACCGGAAAGAGGAGCTAACTTTGTCTCTGGCCTGGCAATCACTATTGGACGCCAACCCGCCGCTTCCTCCCCCACCGCACGGCCGCGCATACCAGAAGCGACCCACCCCCTCGGAACCGACACCTGATCCTAGAGAAGAATAATATACACTCCGTCCGGGGAATTCTTTCAGTTAACCTGAAGAAGAGCGAACAGAACACTCGAAAACGTTTGTCAAGCGATATTTAATGTATACGCATAGAGCACCGGTCACAGGTTCCGATAGTGTGACGACGTTTTTATCCCGGTGCTGAGAATAGAATAGTTCCTGCATTTCAGGACACAATCGTGAGTGCCAATCTTTCCAAGGCACTCCACAAAAGAATCAGAGAACGGCATTTTACCAAGGTCACAGGAATGTTGATTTACATACAGAACCCAAAGAAGTATGACCAAAAAGTTAGAAAGCTTTATCTATCACATGCCGAAAAAAATGTAATGCGCCAGGAGATGAAAAATATGCTGAATCGTGTAAATACATATGTAGTGGAACAAGCAGCAATGGCAGAAGATATTACAGAGGTGGAAAACAATGATCCAGATAACCCGGATTTCCTGAATTTCATATTGGAACAAGAATTAGAGATCCAACTAAAAAAAAAGAGTGAGAAAGAAAATTTCATGAAACTGAAAGAAACTAGTACTGAGAAGGATTATGATAAGTTATTAAAAAAGGAAATGGCTGTTTATGAAAGTGAGGGAGTCAGAGGTGAAAACTTATCTTTGATTTATCATTATTTGATGACACTGAAACCAACTAGTGTAGAGGCAGAAAAGGCCTTGCATAGGGCAGGATATATATGCAGTTCATTAAGAAGTAGGTTGGGAGACAACACCATCAATACCATTTGCTTCTTGAGATCCTACTTTTAGAAAAGTCAAAAAAATAACAGAAGTGATTGATTTAATTTTATTTAATCCTTTAAAATACTTTATTCAAGACAAGACTAATAACTTCTACTCTAATTCTATTAAGTAAGAGTTTTTAACTTTTATTCTATAAGTGGTTAGTGAGCTAGGCTAGGCAATTTTATTGTGAAAATTAGTGAGAAACTGAGACTACCTAGTTAATTAATTAAATTAATGAGTATCAGTATCTTAGATATATGATGATATGAATGTATGTGATTCATGATTGTGATAATAATAACTAACTACTAGACTACTACTAACTACTTACTCACTACTTTATTAACAGTAATAATTAAATAACTACAAACTGATATGTAGAGCCTATATAAGAAAACTGGTAAGGCTGATAGCCACTTAGCCACTGATTATCTGTCCTTACATTATTATAATATAATATATTAATATAAATTAATTAGTGGAATTACCTTTGCTATTATTTAACTTAAAAATTACATTATAATCTAACTAAAGATTGAAAGTTAATTATCTCTATCTCAAGTGTTAAACCGAACCAAAGTTTACTACCTAAACGTGTAAGAAGTTTTACTGATTTATAGTGACCAGTCTAAATAATAAAAGTTTCTTAAGTATTTTAAAAAAATGTTTTATTTCTTTAAAAAAAAAACCCATAAATTTTGGATAGATAGATAGATAACACTTTATTGCACCAAAAAACATCTGCACTGGACCAACATCATTCCAGCTGGAATGATGTTGGTCCAGCACATATCCAGCTGGATTAAAAACACTGCTGGATTGCAATCCCTGTAAGCAAACATGGGCACAAATGAAGGACAATTATGTAAGAGAGGCTACACTATAATTTGAAATGGTAGAATAAGCTGATGATGACGATGATATTGATCTATAGATATCACAACTGTGTTTGTTTGGCACTTGTACACTAACAATTACAATTCTAAATAAATTAGACAGCTTATTACAAAATAAACATAACTGCATGACATTTATCTAGTGTAGTTTTAAAAGAAAAAAAAATGCTAAAATTTGCTCAAAACAGAAAAAATAATTTGTTACCATGCAATTCTGGTTTACACAGGTTTTATTTATTTAAAGAATGTACTAAATGTATGTATATAAAAATCATATTTTTTACACAGCAATGCTTAATTTCATTGGCACTATCACTTCTTTAAGACTAGAAATTTGAAAAGTTTCGGCAAGCATTTAAAAATTATCTGGTTTATAATAATATAATTATAGTTCATCTTTTTGAACAAAAGATCTCTTACAATAATTTGGAATTTTTTAACGCGTTGGAAAAAGCATCAAAGATGGCGCAGACGTAAATGATACGGCATAAAATTTTAAATTACCTTATAAAAGTATTTATATTTTTTCATTCATAAAGTGTCAAGATATAATTCCAACGTATCAAAACGCTTCGTTTATTCATAATTAATTATACACGTACAAATAAATTTTAAAATCCAAGTTTAAATAATTTGCAAGTCATTCTTCCTATCAACATAGTTATTTTTGATAAAAACCGAAAGAATTTATATAAAAATGTGTATTCGAATAAATCACAAAAACTCCATCTCACCCTGTCCACACTGGTTATTCCAATTTCTTCCATTTTTCTGAAAATAATTCAGATTATTCTCTTTTATCGTAAGAAAATGAAGGCAGACGAAGAGCGTCTTGATAAACAGTGTTGCCAACGTACTTTGATCAGACGTTGACGTCGAAAAATTTCATATATATTGTTCAATATAACGCTNCGTAAGAAAATGAAGGCAGACGAAGAGCGTCTTGATAAACAGTGTTGCCAACGTACTTTGATCAGACGTTGACGTCGAAAAATTTCATATATATTGTTCAATATAACGCTAACTTAAAAATTTCCACGTTTTCAATTTGTTATTTAAAAAATTGTTAAGTTGATTTTAAAGCCGTTAATTAATTTCCGAATGGTAAATTGAATCGTCTACTTTCAGCAAGGATTGTAAAAACAACAAAAAAAAATTAAAATAATAATAAATATACTGTATTTGATATGAAATAATAATTTGATTCATCGTTTGGTGAAACTATCTGCATATATGAGGCTTTTTTTAAATGTTTCCCGCCCTGTGGGTACTAAGATTTTTTAAGGAATTTACTTTCTAAGAGGGCCTCTTTTTAGCCAGCGCATTATGAGTTCGGCCATGCCCACAACAGAGCGGCCGGATGGTGAGGGATAGGGCCCGATATATCCGAACGGGCCACTCCCTAAAAAAGTTCTTGGGTATTTATAAGTCTGTCTGTATTTGATCTCGGGTCCCCCAGAGCGATAGGCTACCACCTTGACCGTTAGGCAATCCGATCGTCTTTAAAAACATGCTAGTATACAGTAATATGCATATTTAAATTAGTGTACGAGTATATGACTAGGAGTTAGAGTTATTATATTGCTTTGATGCTTTTCTTAATTTTATACTGGTTCCAGAAGTGCTTTGTGTGCTTTGTGTAGAGAGAAACGATTTATCAAATGTAAATCGTTTTTTTCTACAAATTGAAGTTAAAATACGTAGTTATCGAGCTTGTAACCTATCGGTGCTAAATTCATTAAAAATATTTTAAGTAGTGTTAAGCATTTTTAAATAAGTTATGCCGAAAATAACCGAAACGTTTTGGAAAATGCAAAATTTATAAAATGAGTCATCTAACTATTTTTGTGGCAAATATTAGCCAAAATATTTGTCGTATCTTCGCTCATTTGATAGAAAAAATGCAGAAATATGTAATGAATCTTAAATAAATGGTTTGAATAAATGGTCATAAAAATGGTCATAAATGGTCATGGAAATAAATGGTCATTTGAAATATAGAAGACCTCTTGATTAGATATTCTTTGCAATTAATTGAATACAGTAAAATAAAATTTCGTATAAGTGACAATATTTTAATTTTTCCTGTGATAAAATGAACAGCGTGTCGAATTTCAACATTCTAAACCAAACGAATGAACGAAAATTATTGAATACAGTATAGTGTTGCTACACTTTAAACACTGAGCGAGTTGAAATTTTCTCACATCGCTGCGTTTGGTACCGGCAGTAAGAAGTGACAAAATATCTAGGTCCCAATTTATATTGGGCTCTAGATATTATCAGTGGCGTGCCTTCCTTGAAAGCGGTGGAAGTGCCACTTCCCTTGTATTTTCTAAAATATAAAGACATATTGTGCGATTATTTTCATATTTTAATCGATTCAGAACGATTTTTAAATGTTTTTTTTTTGATAAAATAAATAATATTTGCGTATGGAACTAAAGAGCCGCAGCTTCACATCCAAAGAGCCGCAGGTTGCCGACCCCTGGTCTAAGTCTATGGTTCACAATTAGTATTATGGTTCCCCGGGGGTACGCGAAATTGCATGAAGGGGTAGGCGCGGCAATCTAAAATTGATCGATTTAAAATTTAAATGCATGAGATGAAGCAATCAAAAAAATTATGGGTGGACTATCAAAAATTCGGCAACTTACAACATGATGTCGAATGAACAAATTCGTTTATTTATAACTAAAAATATTCTCGAAATTTCATCAAAAAAATGCATTTTGTGACAATACCTAAATGAAATTCTTGCGCAAGAAACAAAAATTTCACAATTAACATTATTATCATGTCAGCGAAGCGGCAATAAAATATTTACTACCATTTTGCACAACATACCTCTGCGAGAGCGGATTTTCGGCCATGACAAACATGAAAACTGAACATCGTCACCGCTTCAACTCGAAGATGACTTGAGACTGAAGCTGACCAAAAAAGCAATCAGATTTTACAAAGTTGTGCAAAGAAAATCGTGCACATTTGTCACATTAAAATTAAATAAACTTATGTTATTTTCATTATTATTAGAATTGTATTTTAAAGGTAATAAATGTAAAAAAACTTATTCTATTTATCACTAGCTGTTTACCCACAGCTTTGCCCGCATTATATTGAATTTTCTCGTGGGAGTAAGATATTTTCTCGCAGTAAAATGTAGCCTATGTTTGTTTCCAACATGTAAGCTATCTCTGTGCCAAATTTTATTAAAACCTGTTTAGCGGTTTAGACGTGAAAAGGTAACAGACAACAGATAGAATTACCAACGAATTTATAATATTAGTATGCATTAATATTAATTTCTGCTATAAGGGATATGCGAGTTTGAGCTCTTTCTTGAAGTGGTACGCAGGAAAAACTAATAAAACCACTGATCTAAGTTGATCGTTGAAAGTGAAATAATGTTAGAAAAAATTCGCTGGGGATTTTAACTCGAATTCCAAGTAGAGATGACGTCACGACGGGCAGAATACTCCCTTCGTAAGCGAGAGATTCAGGTCTTCTCGATTGAAGGAAATTTTATTTTTGCGATTTAGCTCGCTACAAATGGGAGAAGTCAAGAAGTCATTAGAAACGAGTTCAACATTGCAGCACAACTAGATATTTATGCTTCTAACACAATAAAGTGTTATAAATTAAGACACATGGCGGGTTTTCTCATCTTTATTTAGTTTAGTCAACTAAATAAAGATGAGAAAACCCGCCATGTGTCTTAATTTATAACACTTTATTGTGTTAGAAGCATAAACAAATTGTAAAGCACGGTTTCATATCATCAAAATAAGAGTGATTTATTTTAGCAGACAAATAAATAACGTAGAAATACTAAACTTTAACTTTAATT